CAGATTTATAACTGATGTAAGTAAGACTTTATTATAAAATTCCTGGGCTTATACGGAGGGCTGTATCTGCCTCTCTACCTCAGGCTACCTTCACCTGGTCTGGGCTCGAGTTGCCCCCTGTCCTGGGGAGTATGGGTCGTAACTCTTAATTACGGGCTAGCTACCAAGCGGCCACACCTGAGGCACGTAACTTTCACTTCGGGTGCAAAGTGAAAGATTCAAAAACTTAAATGAACACTGGTAGTTGAAGGGGAAATCCACTGATTTATCAAAAGTTTATGCATAATTAAATGGTTGAGATGTAAACAGAGTCATTCAGAGTGGTTTGGTGTAAAATGCTCCATTCTGGAGTCAGAACTGTTCACAGTGGTGGTGATAGGAACCAGATGTCCACTTCTAAAAGCTCCCTCACAGAAAGTTACTACATGAAATGGTTATGAATTCACTGCCTGATGTCTCAGACATTGGTTTACGGTAGTTTTAAGAAGGTTTTTGACCTTAAAATCCATGCATGGTCCATGTAAGTAGTATGTAGTAACTAATACAGCTATATTTGGTGACCCACCACTGCTGTGAAGAAATCTGAGTCTGTAAGTTTCTCTAAAACGTACCACTTCACATCCAACCACCCTGATTTTGTTAAGCAGAAATTTTGCAAAGTTGGTGGAGCTGCCCTTTAAAACAAAAACAATACCTCAGACAATATTTCGGAGACAAAACGTGTTGCGAAACCTCAGCTTCAGAAAAAAATTTGATAAAAGGCTGTAAAATGGAGCATGTGCTGTAAAACACGACCTCACGGCTGGAGGAAATGTAGCTCTTTTACGACTTGCCATGCACTCTGAAGCACTGACGTAATCCTGTGGCGCCAATCAAGGCCTCCAGCATCCCACAATCCCTCAGGACACACTGTACCATAAAAGCTGCCTGCCTTCGTTAAGCTGATCCCGCTCACTGGGCTACATCACCCTGTGTGGCCACGCCCCCTAGCAACTAACCGGACCGCTCGACCCGCATAAAGCTGAGCTCGGAGAACATGACAGCGTGGCAGCGGTTCAAAAACATCACGCCATCGCCTCATTATGCGGCCTGGAAGTGCTCAGGGTGATCGTAAAGGAAGTGCACTAAGTAGGACGCACGGTGATTTGGGACGGAGCCCCATATGCAGAAAAGTAAAAACGTGACAGTTTTAAACACTGGGAGCCACAGTTCACAATGCATCTTAATCTAAAACACACTTGGCCCGTTTGAAGGGGGACTCCACCAAAATTAAATGCTTAACATGGTAAAGTGGTTAGAGTTTATCCTGCATTACTAAAACCTCAATTGTTTTATGCTAGTTCTGAGAATGTGGACATTTCAGACAGATAAAACCTTTAATTTCTGGAATTTCCACTATTATACCACCATTAACATTCCATTAAAAAAACTCGAGACTCATGCAGGTTCACTGGTGGAGTTGGATAGGAAATAAAATGGCTATATTTGGCGACACCTGGTTCCTATTACCACCACTGTAAAATCTACAATGACCCATTTCATACCACTCTCAACCACTGAATTATGCAGGGAATTTTGAAAAATTGTTGGAATTCCCCTTTGGAAGCAGCCCAATTTGGACAAAAAGTGGCAAAGATTGAAAAGAGTTCAGTCGCTCTCCGAACACCGAGCGGCCTGCAGAACGCACACCAATCTGAATACTCACTCTCTCTCTATGGACTTCTCAGTCCCTCCCTCTGCTCTGATCTGAGAGAGAGAGGCATTCCCCAGATAGAGAGAGAGAGAGAGAGAGAGAGAGAGAGAGAGAGAGAGAGAGAGAGAGACTCCTTAACATGGGTCTTTTATTACTAACTGTAAAACTATATATATATAGTAGCATAGAAAACCCTCAGAACACTGAAGTGTTCAGACTGCTTAACACATTTATAGCAACCGCACACCCAACACAAGAGCACTGCTGCAAATGTGACACAGCCCAAACGGAGCACTTCCCCAGCTGTGCATCTGCCTATAACTAAAGAACAGAGCGGAATGGGAATGAGGCTAAACGCTGCTGTACGTTCTCCAGACTGCCACTTCAGATTACTTTTTCCCAGCCACACCCTGCGCTCGCTGCATTTCTGCACTTCACAGCTTCTCCAGATCTTTTTTTACGTTTTCAAAGTACACAGATGGTTCTTCAAGGGTTCTTTAGTAAAGACAACGGTTCTATTAAAGACCACGGACACTCAAATAACCATTTGCATGCTTAAATGTTTTTTGGTATGGTTTTACATAGCATCAAAAAAGGTTCTGCTATAGTTACAATGTTAAGTTTGTAACCATTCTGGTACTATATAGAACCATTTCACCATGCAAAAAAACATTTTACCATGGGTTCTTCAGTAAAGACAATGGTTTTATTAGGAACCACAAACACTCTTAGAACCATTTGCATGCTTAAACGTTTTTGCATGGTGAAATGGTTCTATATAGCACCAAAAAGGGTTCTGCCACTGTTACAATGTCAAGCCTTAACCCTTTTGGTGCTATATAGAACCATTTCACCATGCAAAAAAACATTTCACCAAGGGTTCTTTAGTAAAGACAATGGTTCTATAAAGAACCACAAACACTCAAAGAACCGTTAGCATGCTTGAAAGGTTTTCTGCATGGTGAAATGGTTCTGTATAGTACCAAAAATGGGGCTCCTTAGTAAAAACAATGGTTCTATAAAGAACCATGAACACTTAAAGAACTGTGAGCGTGCTTAAATGTTTTTTGCAGGGTGAAATGGTTCTATATAGCACTAAATATGGTTCTGCTACTGTTGTGATGTTAAGCCTTAACCCTTTTGGTGCTATATAGAACCATTTTCAAAAAGGTCCTTTATAGAACTATATACAACACATTTTCTATCAGTCTGAAGAACCACTTCACCAAAGAACCATTGAGTGTTCAGGGTTCATTGTCTTCAGTAAAGAACCCTTAAAGAACCGTCTTTTTAGAGTGTAGTGGTCAAAGTAGCCTAGCATAAAGCAACAGCTGACGCTAAAGCTCTCAGATGTGAAGCCAACAGAACCGAATGAAACTAAACCAAAAAAAAGGAGCACTTATAAAATATAAAATATTAATATTATAAAATGATGATGATGATTATTATTATTATTATTATTATTATTAATAATAAAGTCCTCAGAATAACTTCTTTAATATGAGGAAAATAACGGCTGCTTGGTTTGTTAAGAAAAGGCCACATATTATTTATTCATCTTTAAAGGCATTTATTGGCCGTCTCCTTGGCAACGCTCACCGCAAGCGAGAGATGACACGCGGCGACTCCGCCCTGACAGCATAGGCCCCGCCCCCTCCCTGCCCCGTCCCCACCCCCTCTCACGATGCAGCCGTCCTGAAGCGCACGAGCCTCCAGAACTAACGGTTCTCACAGTGGAGTTTTCAGTGTAGAAAGAAAAGAAAAAAGATTTAAGATTTAAAAGATTTAAGAAGAGTTTCTTTTTGGAAATTTTCCCGTTCCACCTTAAATGGTGCAGCAGTTACACTGTGGCACTTTCCAAACCTAACATTACCTCAGTTACAGCTGCATTAAACCTCTTCTAACACTAAAACAGTGAGGTTCTAGACCACCAGCCTGGGCGTGTAGCACTAAACGGACCAGGCAGATGTTCCAGCTCTGGAAACGTTCTCAATAAAACCGTCGACCCTTGAGAGAAGTAAGGGAACCACTCCAGATCAGACCTCGCTCCAAAATGCACACATATACTACAACTCTGTTCCTATGGGAAAGTTTATCTAGGGTTCTTCTGTTCTAACTAGAACGTTCTGACTAGACTGCTTGTAGACTACCCTACTAGAATGCTGATTTTCTAGTGTACTAACTAGAATGCTTGAGTTTTAATTGGAACACATCCTTTACCTAATTACAATCCTCATGTTTAACTAGACTGATCAGCTTGTGTTCTAAGACAATTAGCTAGTGCACTGGAATGCTTAGCTGCTGTATAAAGCAGAACACAGTGTAGCACGTATGGTGCTCCAACTAGACTGCCTGCGTTCTAAGTGGAACGTGCTAAGGTTCTAACTAGGATGACTACCTAGAGTGCTTACCTAGAAACTGCCTGCGTTCTAACTGGAGTGCTTGTGTTCTAACTAGGGTGGTTAGCTAGCGTACTAACTGGAATGCTTAACTGCTGCAAACTAAAAAGCTAGTTATCTAGTGTTCTTACTAGAACACTTAGCTAGATTTCCTGTGTTCTAATTGGAACATCCTACACTGACTGCTCATGTTCTCACCAGAGTGACTATAGTGTTCTAGATAATATTCTCACTGGAGCGCTTGTGCTCTGACTGGAATGTTCTACCTAAAGTGGATAGGTACTAACTAGGATGATCAGTGTTCTAGCTAGGTTTACCTGCTGTTTAAACTAGAAAGCTAGTTTTCTAGCGTTCTAACTGGACTGCTTCTGTTCTAACTGGATGGTTCCACCTAAATTAGTTAGGTTCTAACTAGGATGATCAGTGTTCTAGCTAGGTTTACCTGCTGTTTAAACTAGAAAGCTAGTTTTCTAGCGTTCTAACTGGACTGCTTCTGTTCTAACTGGATGGTTCCACCCAGATTAGTTAGGTTCTAACTAGGATGATTAGTGTTCTAGCTAGGTTTACCTGCTGTTTAAACTAGAAAGCTAGTTTTCTAGCGTTCTAACTGGACTGCTTGCGTTCCAACTGGAAGGTTCTGCCTGCTTTTGTTCTAATTCTAATGCAATAATAACTGCTGTTTGAACTAGAGCGCCTATCTAGTGGTCTACTTAGGGCGCAGGTACGCTTATTGGACGGCAGCCATGGATTCACCGCTAGTTGGTTCTTGAAAAAAAAGGACCATCAGCCTCCCTGAGACCCCCGGGACCGAGACGAGTCAGCCCGAGCTGAACCCACCCGTTTTTCTTCTCCTTTCTTGTCTTTCTCTGACAGACAGACAGGCGCGCGAGGCTGCACCGCTCTCTTACCTGAGCTGGCTCGCGAGGTCACGAGCAGCAGTAGCACCGCCAAACTGAGCCCCGCGTCCTTTAGCCTCCGTTTTACTTTCCACTTTATAGGGGTGTCCATGGTCGCCAGCGCTGTCCCGCACCAAGCGAGGCTCGGTCAGTTAAACAGACGACCGGAGAAAGCGGAGACGGTCTCACGAGCGCAGACGAGGAGAGAACTCCTAGCGGAGAAAGGGAGAGGAGGAGGCGGGAGGACGGAGTCTCTCAGGCGTCCATAAAGTTGGTGGGATCCTCCAGGTCCTCTCAGCGGATGGGGGCACCCTCTCTCTCTCTCTCTCTCTCTCTCTTCTTTCTTCTTTCTCTCACTCGCTCGCTCCTCTCTCCTTCTCTCCGCTGCTCTCTCTATCCAGCCTTCCTCCTCTGAGCTGAAATGATGCCCCCTTCTCTCTCCGTCGTCACTCAAACTGCTCGGAGCCAAAGTTGAGGAGGAAAAAAAAAACCCGCATTCCCACATTCTGTCAGTCAGCAGGCGGATAGGATGGAGCGCGCGACAGGCCCCGCCCATATGGAATCAGAGGCGCTTCATTGGTTGATCGCGGGGAGGGGCGGGGCAAAGACTTTCCGACTGTCTTCAACTTTCAGCTCACAGCGTCCCGCAGACGGTGATGCGCGCCGCGAGTCACTTCAATTCACTGAGTCGATTCTGGTCGATTCGTTGACATGATTCATTTGATTCTATTCCCAGAGTGGCTAATTTCCGACGTGTTGTAACCAGATGTGGGCAGTGACTGGTCAAGCTTTTTCGTATTTTCGGAGATACTTCTACCTCTACTTAAAAAGATGGTTCTTCAAGGTTCTTCAGTGAAGGCAGTTCTAGATGGAACTAAAGCTAGTGTGATTAGCTAGTATTCCAATTAGAACGTTTAGCTCATATACTCTAACTAGGGTGCTAATGTTCTAACTCAACCGCAGCAATTACTGTTGTTACAACCAGGACATTTAGTGTTGAGGCGTTCTACTTAGGGTACAAGTACGTTTATTGGACTATATAGAACCATTTAATGCTTGAATGGTTCTTTATATGGTAAAATGGTACTTTAGATTGATGTTTTGTATTTGGTCTATATAGCACCAAAAAAGGGTTCTTCTGTTGTTACAAGCTTGACTTCGTAAAAATAGCAGCACCTTTTTTGGTGCAATATAGTAGAACCAATCTGATAAACCATTTCACCATGCAAGGAACCATTTAAGCACAAAATGGTTCTATATGCAACACATGTTTGTGAATATAACCATTGCCTTGACTAAAGAACCCTTGAAGAACCATCTTTTTAAAGTGTGTACAGGAATAATAAAATACAGACAGGAAATCATACAGACAGAAATATCAATGCTATTAATTTCAACTCTATTAGAGAAATAAAAATATTGTTTTCCATTAGATTTCCAGTAGCGTTCTTTGGTCAGAACTGTTTGACCATAATGATCAATGAAAAGGTGAGGCTTTTAATCCAAAGAACACCTGAACTGTGAAGCCTGGTGGTGGCAGCATCACATTGTGGGAGGTGTTCTTCTGTAAAAGGCACTGGTGCATCATGAGGAAGGAAGTTTTTCTGGAAATACTGAAGCAACACCCAAAAACATCAACCAGAAAGTTGAAACGGGGTTACAGCTGGGACTTCCAGCAGGACAATGATTCCTGTCAAAATGACTTCAAGACAAAGTGAAAGTGTTGGAGTGGCCATCACAAAGCCCTGACCTGTACCCCATAGAAAATCTGTGGACTAAAAACTGAAAAAGCATGTACAAGCAAGAAGGTCTACAAACATAATGGAATTACAGCAGTTCTGTCAGGGGGAATTGGCAAAAAGTTCCAGCAAAGTGTCGTGAGAAGCCCATGGAAGGCTATCTTAAGAGTTTGCTTCAAGTTAAGCAATTGAAAGGCAATGCCACCAAAAATTAAGTGTATGCAAACTTCTGACCCACTGAAAATCTGATATAGTAAATCAGAAATAAATGTCTCTTTTTAACATATTATAGCAAACACGTCTGTAGAAACATCATCCACTCACTGGTTTTTCAAAACACCTTTGAGCTTCCACGAACTAGCCACTTTATTAGAAACACCCACCTTGTACTTCCACGAACTAGCCACTTTATTAGAAACACCCACCTTGTACTTCCACTAACTGGCCACTTTATTAGAAACACCCACCTTGTACTTCCACTAACTGGCCACTTTATTAGAAACACCTACATTGTACTTCCACTAACTGGCCACTTCATTAAAAACACTTACATTGTATTTCCACTCAGTGACCACTTTATTAGAAACACCTACCTTGTACTTCTACTCAATGGCCACTTTATTAGAAACACCTTCCCTGTAGTTCCACTAACTGGCCACTCAATTAGAAACACCTCCATTGTCCTTCCACTCACTCAGAACTAACTCCTCTCAGAAACCAAGCTATGCTGATGTGAGGTATTTTATTCATGTGGAAATGATGTACCCATTTAAATCAAGCACATCTGAGTGTTCTGAGAGTGCTCAGCCAAGGCTTGTGCTAAAAAAAAGTGAGATTCTATTTAAAGAGCTGCGCACCAGGACCCCTGAATGTGTGTGACAGCTGGAGTGCGCAAGGCCACAGGGGTGATGTGCTTTTAACACACAGATCTGTTACATGTCACCCCAGTTTAGCCCACTATTTAGCCCACTGTTTCTCCTCAACAATGCCCTGTTTACTGGCCTCAGACTGCAGCAGAATTCACACTTATTTACATGATGTCACACACATACTGTTCCCTCCCCAAATCATACATCTATATGAGCAAAACAAGCTGCACCAATGGCCTGTTTGGAATCCAATGTTTTTGTGATGTCAAAAAGCAGCACATTTACATACAACCACCTACAGATCTTTGAAGTTATGCATCATTATGTGGTCATGACCATATTAGGATGTCCAGGTCTATCCCCTGATCGCTGGTATTGCATCCTGTGGAACATTCAGAACCGGATACATTTTGTCGTACGGAAATTTTCCCTTTGCATGTTGCTGGATCCTCAGAATTACGAGGACATTAATGAGTTGAAATATATTTTCTACATGCAAGCTAAGACTGCTGCACACTGAATTGACATGAATAGGCATAATGCAGGGCAGCCAATCAGAACCGAATCATTTACATATATCAGTGTTGAAGAAAAAACAGCCTGTTTAATAGAGGATAAAGTGAAGTTTTGGAGTAATCATTACTATTGTTCCATTCATCGTGAACCTTTAACACATTTTGAGGGGAATCAATAGTTTTCAAATTATGCAAAAAAGTAAAAAAGAGAGCTGTTGTCATGAATAGATTATCAGGCGTATCATTTTCAGCGAAAGACAACACTGCATTCCAGCATAAAAACCTTATCCCATCTGTGAAACATGGTGGTGGTAGTATCATGATTTGGGCCTGTTTTGCTGCATCTGGGCCAGGACAGCCTGCCATCATTGCTGGAACAATGAACTCTGAATTATACCAGCAAATTCTAAAGGACAATGTCAGGACATCTGTCTGTGAGCTGAAACTCAAGAGAATGTTGGTCATGCAGCAAAACCACGACCCTAAGCACACAAGTCGTTCTACCAAAGAATGATTAAAGAAGAGTAAAGTTAATGTTTTGGAATGGCCAAAGTCAAAGTCCTGACCTTAATCCTCTAGAAATGCTGTGGAAGGACCTGAAGCAGCAGTTCATGGGAGGAAACCTACCAACATAACAGAGCTGAAGCTGTTTTGTGTGGAGGTCTAAAACTCCATCAACCTGATGTGCAGGACTAATCAACGGCTGCGCAAGGGGGTCACACCAGATACTGAAAGCAAGGGTTCACTTACTTTTGCCACCCACAGATATGTAATATAGGATCATTTTCCTCAATAAATAAATAAATAAATAAGTCTAATATTCTCATTAGTTTAATTTGGTTCTCTTAATCCTTCTGTTAGGGCTGATGAAGTTTTAGATCAAATTTTTGCAGAAATAGAGAAAATCTTAAAGGGTTCACAAACTTTCAATCACCACTGTAGATCAAGAATGGTTTAGGGACGTTGGGCCAAATTTCAACGTCAGTTCAAATTAGTTCACTCATTTAGCCAATCAACAAGCTTGCATAGGCCAGTTCTTCTGTAAATTTAGAGCTTTGGAGATACGAGGTTTTGTTCCGACAGTGACCATGTAGTTATCTAGAGCTCGTCCTGCAGTGCAGTGTGAATCCAGGGCAGTGTGATGAGAATCATGGTTGTAGAAAGTGCAGTTTGAGCATCATAAATCTTTTCTTTTTTGGATATTTTTAGCAGTACAATATGTCTGATTCCCTGCCCAGGCTAGGGGTGATGTATCCCTCCAGCCTGCGTTAGGAATGTGAGGAATGCGTGTCCTGTTGTGATGGATTCTCCTGAACGTTGGGGAGGGGGGGCAACTCCCTTAAAAAAGGTTTTACAACGTAACACACATAAACAGGGTCCTTAAAACACTTTCACTCGTGTGGTTGCACGAACACGTGCAAACAGGATCTGTGTTAAATCCCAGCTGTTTGACCACCGAATATGATGATTAAGACCTTTTGGTTATGTTCACACTGCAAGTTTAGGGCTTAATTTGTGCCAGATGAAGCCGCCACCTTATTTAAATATGATCTGTAGAGCTGGATCACAAAAATCTACAATAATATTTTCTTCAAACAACTCTGTCACAAAAGTGTGGTGTGTTGTGTCACCTCGTTTCTGTTTGGGCTTGTGGAGAAACATTACTAAAAATGATCCAGACACTGTTTATCACTCGCAAATGCGCCACTGCTGTGAATGTTCGTCCCTCAAAAGATGAAAGTAACGCTTTGCTAAACCAGTGGTTTGTGAGCAGCAGCAGTGCCAAGACTGTTGTTTTGGATGGACATGGACAAATTCGCAGGTACTTGATCTCTGGTGAACGATGGAGTAACCATAACTATGAGGCATCAATGCATGAAAACTCAAACTGAGGTACACAAAACTCTTTTTTAATTACTGAAAAACTTGCTGAACTTGCAACAGAACTTGATTTAAAGAACCAGCATTGGACAGAGTTGATGAATCTAGTTATTATATTCATGTAATATTTATGGTGTGCTTGGTTGGTGTCTTGGATAAGCTGCGTTTAGGTTTCCAGTCGTCGCCAGTGATGATCTTGGAAAATGATCTCGTCTCAGTTTGAGGTTGAAATGCTTATAATTATAGTTATTGATTATTCTGGAGTTTTGATGGGTCAATATCAAACATTTCAATTTCAAAGTCAAATATTTGTGGTTCTGACTCATTTCTACCAACCAGTCACACCATCGCCACTCCACTTATGATCTATTCACGCATTATAAGCTGTTTGTTGATGGGACATTTTTTGACATTCAATTAAGGCACACATTAGTCATCATTAGTAAGATCAAATGTTATGGGAAACCTTACTTTCTTTTT